GTGTTACTTTAAATAAAACAAACAATCCAAATGATTTCAAGCCACACAGGCTCATTATTATAGTGTGTATAGAGAGTGCTTAACACATGGAAGCTTGGAATGAGCAGCTGCCTTTCAGAGAAGTTGTGACAGCACAATAAATCAGACAGATACGGTCAAGCTTGTCCTATCAATCCATTGTTTGATTTTGTTTGAAAGTATACAGGGGAATAGTTTCACCACCTAACCTTAGAAATCTAGCTTCCTAAAGTACGAAACTAGACATGCTGTGTGATGCATGGAGAAACATTGCCTCTTCCAGAGGTGGTTCAGAACAAACACCTAGTTGAGGAACACTGAACTCCCTGGTTTCTCACCTAGGTGACTAAGGGGAGCTTAAGCTCTTACCTTACCAGTCAAGTCTAAAAAATGCAGTGATTAGCCTCCCCTGAGCTCTGCGATGCTGAAAAGGATTTTAATGAAGTCACTGGAAGGATTGAGGTAACCTGGTCTGGAGGAAACTTTTCTAATGGAAAACTTCATTTATTTTTTGTATAGTCATAACAATGCAGTGCTACAATGTGGGTTATGGCCCCATTGCCCTATGTACTATACCAACATTGCCCAAATACATTTGAATAATAATGCTGCCTGCTTCTCTTTCTGGTAGAAAAAGGGATTACAAAGCTTCTTCCTTTGTCACTCATCCCATGTTTTTACCACGTACATGGAAGCCAAACACAGATGCAAAAGCACTCTTCGTTTTGACAAAATTTTGTCCTTTGTCTATGCAAAATCAACGGCTTCAGGCCTTTTATAAATGATTGGTGGCTTCTGGGCGGGTATTGGAAATTAAAGTTAAGAAGAAATAAACCTTGTCATTGCCATCAGCAGAATTTAATCTGACTAGGTGGGATTTTCCATTTATGTTGGCAAAGAGAAGCATTACATATTTGGACTGTTTATTCCGGTAACCTTAGCTAGCCTGCAGAACTGCAACATTACTCTTTTGATTAGCTCCATGCAAAAAGATCTGTGAGGTGGAAAGATCTCCTACTCTTTCTATATTTGGCAGGACCAACTCAATAAAAATGTCCATTTTGCCACGCCTCTGATACCCCACTGCAGCTGCTTCCTCTCCTCATCCCACAGTGAGATACTAAAAAGTTTGCATGGAACCTTCTCCAAGTTTATCTGGATGTACAAAAAAGCCAAGAATGCGCTTGTCAAGGTTACAAATATCCAGGGAGCTAAGATAGTTTTTAGTCTAACTGGCTCTCCAAAATATAATAGAGGCCTGCCAGCTGAAAATTATTAACTGCTGCCTGAGCAGGGATTGCGAGTGTGCTCTATAAGAGGTGGAGCAGGAATTATATGTACCTATACTGCTGGAATTCTTACAATACCATAATAGAGCCATCCTACCACCAGATGCGCTTATAATGCTCTCAAAGTGCACTCTTAATATCTAGGCAATTGAGGCACTTATTTCATTTCATCCTCCTGTCTTGTAACTCAGGTTTCCTTTTTAGGGACTGATAGGATTACTTCCTTCTCCTGATCCATATGTTGTCAGGGTTTTTCTTCATTATTATTTTTGTGAAATGGCCTTCCATGAGTCATTTATGTTTGAACTGATCTCGTAAGTTATTTCAAAAGTCAAATGGAGCCTTACTTTGATGACTGTAGAAAACTTTAATACCCTTATATAGCTTTTTAAATATGATCAGACATATGGTTTTTTTTCTACAGCTTGTTTAAATGCCAGAAAGGTAATTATGAAGTGTTGGTTGGTCAGTGCCTCTTTTAAGCTGCGGCGTATGGTTGAAATTATCACTATAGTCAAGAGGAAGATAGAGCTTTCTTAAGATAATAGGCTCTGTGATTTATTTCACAACTTGGGAAATAACTGAAAGTTGTAACTTTAGGATGACCCAACAATACTTGCCCCAGGTTAGTTTTTGTTCTTCTGCCCTCTGAATAATATGATGCTTGTCATTTTTTAAAAATCTAGGAAAAACAGTTATGCTAAACAATTAATTCCATCAGGGGTTAGGTCTGCTCTCAAATCTATTTTCTGAGCAGATATGTTAGTTCACCCAATACCCACTGCTGGTTTTTGTCATTGTATTATCTGAAGCAAGTTTCAATTCTCTGTGTGCAAATTCAATGTTTCATAAGAGATCAAGAGAGCTTCCATAGGTCTACAGCCTGTGATGAGATTGAGTTTATCACTTGTGCGTTCACTTACTGCAAACAAAGGAACTACTGCCTATCAGGTACCATTTTCTGCAATGCAGCCTTTGGGGGAAAAATAGTAAAGGAAAACTGTTCCAGAAATAGCAATTTTCTAAAAATGTTACCTCACTGGAGAGTCTTTTTTTGGAATTCCATCAATATATTTTAATTCAGTGATAATAATTTTAGAGAAAGGATTGTTTTTGTTGCATCTGTTTAAGATAGGTATCAAATATGATCTCCTCTGTTGGGACAGCTAGTAAAAGAAAGTAATAAGAGCAGTAAGTAAACAAATAAATGCTGTTATCCCACTCAAGAATAATCATTCATTCTGCTAATGATGGAAAGACAGGTCCTGAATATGAGTTCAGTCATGTTGGAAAAAAATAAGAAATACTAGTGTCACACCACGTTAACCCTGGAGTATTTTTTTTAAGTCACTGAAGGAATGCTGATGTAAAACAAGTATGCAAGAAGAGTCAAGCCTTTTGATTTACTGCATTCAACTTCTGAAGACTGCCATATACCATGGAAACCCACAGCCAGTTCCATGCCTATTTACACCATTTTTCCATCAAAGCAATACATTTGATTTTAAAAAGAGACATTTCTAATTGACAACATTGGAAATTACATCATTACTTGGCCTAGTAAGATTCAGAAACTGAAAAATATGTCCAGAATTTCCTCTCAATTTTCTTTTTGTTTTCAATTAACAATACAGTTTTTATGCTACCTTTTTTTTTTTCTCGGACCATTTTATTGTGGCAAGATACAGAATTGGACTCTATCAAGCTAAAAATCTTAATGCTTTCCTTTTTTAAGCAAGGGTGGCTTTAAGCAGGAAGGCAGGAAGGCAGGCAGGAAGGAAGGAAGGAAGGAAGGGAGGGAGTTATCTCTAGCAGCTCAGTTGTCGCTCTGTGATAATCTGGGGAAGCAGAGAAGAATTAGATTACATAATTAGATAGACTAATTATAATTCTATAGAAATTATCACAATTATCAGCAGAATGCTTAGAACCGATATTATGTGACAGCTAGAAAACAGCAAGTGCTCCCATGACTTAAATGAATTCTCTGCACTTGTGTAGCACAGGCTGCCTTTTCTCCTCCAGAGACAATATTCAATATTTATCTGTCCCTTTTCAGTATGTTAAATACTTTTAGTTTAACTATTTCCTTTAGGATAGTGAACTGTCTCTTCATTTAGTTGTACTACCCAACCTGATCTTTGAAGAAAAGAATAAAGAATTTATCAGGGAGAATAGTTAAATTCCAGGCCAAATTCACCATTATTAAATATGGGGATATGTTTTCTGAATTCAGCTGACTGATTCCCATCAAATTGGCGAGCAGATATTTTTTAAAATTTATTTATCATTGCTCAGTTCCACATCGACTCTACCTTTGTCACTGAGACACGAATTCATTCCTCCTCCCCTTAGCTGTCAAAATCAGGTGTGGAAGTTAATCTAATTGTCTCAGCTTACCTTAGTCAGTGGAAATGAAAAAGGCAAAATTTTATCAATTCATTGATACAAAATGGTGTGCTTTACAAATATAACAAAAGTATTTAAGTAACTGAAAATGACCCCAGTGGAACCTGGCAACGTGTTCAAGTCAAACAAGAGAAATTACTGGCCTCTTCTTGACAAGCTGGAAGGGACAGCTATTCTCTAGAAGACTTCAGACTAAAAAACTGTTTCATTTGCTTGTGTGAGTAACTGTGTGTTCATATGTATAGAAAAGGCTGGATTTTCACTGAGATGTCTACTTATAGCAGGTGTTAATGAAACTCAAGAAAATTGCAAAACTTCTCATATCTAGAGTTCACAAATCATGACGCTATTTTGATACCTTCCCTTGAATATATCATCATCTTACTGATTGTATCTAAAGCAATCCCTCAATCTAATATTGATTCCTGAAGAAAGGATGACTGTCTATCAGTGGGAAAAAAGCTTTCAATTTTAATGATAAAACTGTAGGTAATATTTAATCAGATTTGGTGTACTTGCATCCAGTATTCTAAATGTCTTTACTAAAACACATTTTTTAAATGTGTATGTTGATGTAATTATTATTTGAAATGTGACTTGACTACCTATTTAGTGTGTTGGGATGAGATCCTGAAACACTTCAGTACATGCTTAACATGAATATTTCTATTAGAAATCAATGTGACAACATGCATGATGAAACTTGAGCACGTGCAGAAGTGTTTCCCGGACCAGGGTTTGGTGAGCAGGAAACCTATAACAGTGATAAGAAATTCCATCGTCCCCTCTGCTTTCACAGTGCAGGGTAAGATAAAGTGGTTAAAAATGCCTGAATTCCAGTTTTGCTGGTGTTCCCATTCTTGCTGCCATCTGGAAACAGGATGTTCAGAAACTCTGGACAAATGGCAACTGCATATATTTAATAGACTAAAACAAGATGCTCATATTTGTTGCATGCATGCAAATCAACTGCTTGGGCATGCAGTTTTTGGGACCTACCGCTTCTTCAGCCACATCAGTGTGGACAGATTAGAAAAGATGTGCACCAGTTTAACAGATGTATTACTCGTGCTTTTATCTTCCATCTCTGCCTACTAGATGAAACTAATCTGTAGCTGGTACATAGAAAAATATAAATTACTTGCATATCATTTTGCTATAAACATTCAACCTGATATATCAACATATCTGTTAATAACATAAACAAGAGCTCTGCTGTGAGGAGCTACTAACCACTGGTAAATATTGGGCAAGCATTTAAAGTCCATTATTTTCCATCGGTACCTGTCTTTCAGTGAGGTCAAGGTTTACTGCTATCTCATATCGCCTCAGCCTGGTCAAATAGTTATGATGAGCAAATTCTGCTTCTAGCTCTCTGATTTGCTCCTTGGTGAAAGCTGTCCTTTCCTTCCTGGGTTTACTGTTGACCTCTGACTTGTAGTTTCCTTCTTGGGAATCTGAAAAAAGAGATGAAAAAATGGAAGTAATGACAAGTGTACAGCTAAATAGGAAACAAGCCCAAAGATAACAATGTGCTTAAGTTACATTCTTCAAACTTTCTTCTCTCAGAAACACCCCCTTGCTTTCATACCTATGGATTCCTCACTGTCAATCAGGAAAGCAGCAGTAATTCTGACAGACGTGAGCTGCTGCTTCCATTCATGCACATCAAACTTCAGCTTAAAACCTTGCAATGTTTCATTTCCTAACAGTTCTCTGTAGAATTTCTGCAAAGCTTCAACTCCTTCCCAATTCTGGCAACTCCAACCAGTGCAGGATGTGTATCATTTGACTAGTGTCTTAATGAGTAATACTTCCAACAATCCCTCTCCTATCATTTCACTAATACTTTAAGCCAAAGCTCTATTTTAAAGAACACACTTTAAGGTTTAGTCTAGTTACACTGTCAGGGAAAGGTAACAGAAAAAGCATAGGAAATTCAACACGCATCAAAAAAGAAATCGGTGAGCACGTCCTATGTGATAATGGGATCTCCTCCTACTCATGCCAAAGTGCAGGTAGGGAGGTTATGCCACAGCTGGTATCAGTATAGGAAATTTGCTACCACTACAGCTCATTACCTAAGGAATACTTTGGCCACACTCAGAGGAGCTTTGCTGAAAATTTCATTACCACCCTCCTCATTCCTTTTACTCTCAGAAACAGGTACATTTGGTCCTCAGCCAAACTACTGAACTCAGTGACAGTCATTCTGTTGCTGTCAGTGAAGTCTATTTAAACATGTGAAAAGAGATCAAACTGTAAAAAAAAAAGAAAAAAAAAACAGAAAAGAAAGAGAGAGTGGAAAGAAAAAAAAAAAAGGACCAGACATTTATAAGTTTGGGTATGATACAACACCTATAAATCCAAAATTAGCAGGAGATCAGTAGGAGTATCATTAGTCAAATTCTGGCCTCATGAACCATCTTAAAAATGTCACAGATAAATTCACACTTCAGCTGCTGATTTAAATAGAAACCTGCATCAACATCCAAATGAACAGGCCCGCAAGAAATCACTCCCTGGGACTCTGTGTCAGATGAATCATCACATGCCTGAGACTGTCCAACTGGCCAGTGGGTCTGGTTTCAAAACTACAACCAACTATCTATGTTTTCACTTTTCGTCAGTTACTCTGTTGCTTGGAAAGGAACTTTTTTTTTTTTTAAATGAGAACTGTTGACATTTGACCCAGTGCTTTAGTCATTAATTTAAAATGTTTTAAAGCTAATGGATTCAAATCACCAAGCCTCTTAACTTTTGCTGACATGAAACACAGAACTTTGCTTCAGATGTGGTTGTACTGCTGGTGTGTATGACTGAGGGTATCCACCAACGTTGTTGAGTGGGTTTAGGAGCTGTTCAACCACAACTGGAGTACGGATTTTCTAGGATAGGACTCCATTAGATAGCACACCAATTGACTGTAGTGTGGGGCAAGGTCCATTATCCAAACTCAACATAGAAAACTTGATAGATCAAAACCACCTTAAACCTAGAAGTTCACATTTCTTCCTTCATATTAGTTGGCAAACTAGAGTCACTATAACTTCTCTCCACATCCTTCCGTTGCAGGAATACGCATGTTGCTTTTCTTCCTTGAAATTTCCTCATCTGCTGCCTCATCATAAGGTCCAAATACTATGTAGATGACCTGAACTTATATACTTAAACCCCTATATCAGCATTCCAATGAATCACTGAAGAGAGATACCAAACTCATTTTCCTTAGCATTTGGACTTACCATTCTTATACCACCAGAGACATGTTTCATACATGTTTGAAAGTAAGTGGGTGTGCATACTGCTTATCTGCAGTACAACACAGAAATGTATTTCATGCAAGTCACTGCTAAAGTCCTCTTAAGTGTCTTGGTAAACCTGTGCCTGTGTGTGAGGCCATGAGCCAAGAAGTCTTCCCATGTCAGTACTTTCTGTAGGAAAGGTCCATGGCTCACTGGTTTCCAAACTAAAGGTTGCAACCTTAAATAAAAGTAATGCACCTACAGATGACACTGACACCATATTGAAAATTAAATACCAGAAATGAAGACGTAAGCCTGGAAACGCAACAGAAAGTGAGGTCAAAGGTGTAAAACCTTGGTAGCTACTGCTATCGTGAATGATCAAAGGGAAAAACTTCAGGAGTACCCATCCAAACATCTCTCAGGAGGATACTGATCTCTATAAGTGACTGCGACTTATAACACAAGCAATTTTTCTGCAAACAAATGGTTCCATGGGGAAAACAGAATTACTGTACAGCCAGTAAAACCATAATGAGCCAAGTCATTGTTCAGGTTAATACTCATGGTTCTGAGTTCCCAATTTACAAATGCGGTTAGCACCTCAATTCCAGGTTCCTGGGATACTGATGTAAGGAAAGGGAAATGTAACTGCATGAGTAGCATTTGTCCTTCATCTTTGCCAGCACAGAGGATTCAGCACTGCTAGCAATGCTAGCCCACACAGGTCCTGTGCGAATATAAGCATGATTGGACAGCTGGTTATTTAGACATCTCTGCCATTGCTACCTTTAAGTGAATGCTGCAGTGTAAGTGCCTGGCAGCCACAGTTTTGTCAGCAGTATGATTTCACCAGCAGACTGACACAGTGGAAAAGGTTTTTATTTATTTGTTGTGAATGTCATTGAATGCATTTGTAACAGTCAAGACACTCCAAAAAACCCCACGATATATTCAAATATTGCTGAAAGCAAAAGTTGAAGAGGTACACAGACACGTGAGACAGGTACAGAGAAAGCTGACTCCCTCTCAGTACTGAGGTTCATGTAACAGAACTGTAATCCTAGGAAATCTGTTTCAGCAAAGATCTGGCCAGCAAGACAATGGTATTTTGCTTAATGCATTTGAGATATTGAAAATATATCTAAAAAGAGACTTAGATGCATACCAGTTAGGTGAACACCAGTTATGAACTCTTGCTGTCATCTGACTTTCTCTGCTGCAGTGTTGCTGTGGTTCATGTACAGATTGCCTTTTTTTTCCTATTGACATCATACTACTTGGATTAGTAGTTTTAGAAATTTTGGTTGTTTTAATTTCCAAAGCAGTAAATCTAGGTTTTCTGACTGTTTCTTTTTAACAGTCTCTATAGAGCCAGGACTGGGAGCTCCCATCTCTTTCTGACCTTCAGGTCTCTGTTCACATCACCTGACTAGCTTCCCTTTGGTGGAAAATGGGTGGGAGACTTGGAAGAGATTTTTGGCAGAACTCATGTCAGCCTACATCTGTTTTGCAGCTGTTGCAACTAAGACAAGAAAAAAGTCCCAACAACCTTAGTTTTCTTCTACTGGCTACATCTTATGCCAAATGGTAGGTGTAGAGGCAGAGAACAAAGCCGAGGGGGATCTAGGTTACACTCCTTGTCTCTCAAAAGGCACACATAAAATACATACAGATGGTACAAACCACTTGATGAAAAATACAGCAATCTATATTGCCTGTCTTCCGCCTTCTCCCAGACAAATTCTGGCACACTCTCAGAACATGTAGCCTACATGCAGGTATTAGTACTTTATCAGTCTCTCTTTTGCAAACATTTGTTCTTTCGATGTCAAGAAATGTAGGCAGTTAAACACTGCTTTGAGGGATGCAGGTCATACCTCTTTCTCAGAACTGTTTTTAACAGTTTTCAAAAACTCTAGGCATCATCTTTAACATCTCCTGATAGACAACAATGCTTCTTGTTAACTGATGTAGAAGGTACCATTTGGAAAGACATTCAAAGCTATAAATGACTGTTCTACAGATCTTTGGAGGCTTAGATTTTTCCTGAGTTTAATAATAGCTTAAATTCTTTTACAAAAAATCATTATTAATTGCACTACTCCCCATCTTCAAAAGTTACTTCTACTTTACTCTAAGGAAAGGATTGCTATCCCAACATTTGTATTGTCCCACCAGAGTTCCTATTTCCTTCTCTCTACATCATTGAGAGATGAAGCATACCAAGCAAACACAGGGTCTAACTCCTATGTGTAGAGTATGAAAAGTGGTCATTTTGGTATTTTTGCTTGTGATGCATGCCTAGGAAAAAAAGGACTGGTCACAGAATAGGGAAAAGAGACTGGTCAGAATATCCGTGATACAAAGATCTGCTGCTAACTGTGTAGGGTCAGAATCACAGGCAAAATGTGCAAGAAGCACCCACTATTTTTTCTTGGGTTAGTTCAACAGCTGACGTACCTTCATTTCTCAGACAGAAATGACCTTTCAGTTAATACCTGCAATGGAAGATCCCAGACAAGAATTTTCAAAAATAAGTCAGGTTGGTAGTGCTCTATTAGCAGTTGCAGATGGTTTTCAGATCCTGATATCCATACTGACAGTGAGTAGTGACAATAACCACTAATGATTTGTGACAAAAAGGCCATCGGTATTTCACCCCTAGAGTTGTTATTCAACATCCAGGTTTTCAACTTCCACTCACATCTTCCAACACTTACTCTCAGAAAGCCTCTACCATGAACAACCTATTTCTAAATTTATTTCACTATAAATTTATAGTGAAGTTGGTTAAATTAAATTTTCTTAATTGCGTACCTTCCTGTAAATGGTGCTCAAGTGTCTGCAGAGAACAACTACTACGTCATTATTTACTTTAAAATGAAGCAATCTATACAAAGTAATCAATGCAAAAAGCTTGTTACTTCTGAGTAGTTTAATGCTGTGTGAAAGAGCATTTCTTTCAAACTTAACTCCTCTACATTTGTTTAAATCACTAACATGTAAACAAAAGCTTTAGAGCTTCTAAACATCAATAGGACACAACAATGATGTGATTCAATGCAAAATGCTTTTCTTTTTTTTTTTTCCCTTCAAGATATTGGCGATATGAACTTAGGGAAAAGTACTTTAGTATTAGAGCAATAATCTAGCAAAATATCATTAATCTGAAATATACATACGAAGAAAATAAGCAACTTTGTACTATT